GAGATCTGCCTGCCTTTGCCTTCCAAGTGCTTGGATTTAAAGTCATGTGCCACCATGCCTGGCAGTTGGCTTCATTTTTTTTTTTTTTTTTTAACATTTTATTTTTTCTTTCTCTAGCATGAAACATGCACAACTTTTAAGTTAGTGACTTTCCACTTTAAAGTTTTTAGACAATGTCTTTGGTTCTTTTAACACCATGAAGTATGGAATTACCTCAAAGTATAGATCAGGAGGTGACGTCACCAATGCTTCCGCCTCCAAAGACGGAAGAGAATCTACTCCCAGCTGCCTGGCCTCTCGGTGGACCCCTTCCACCTCAGCTGAGGTACCTCAGCCTTTCTCAGCAGGTACTCAAACCTTTCCACTGCCCTTCACCAACAATCTCCTCGCCAGTGTCCTTCCAGCAAGTTTCTCAAAGGTACTGCTTCACACTGACATTTCATGGGCTTGTCTTACTCAGTCATCTTCCCATAGGACTGTACAAGCTTCTGGAGAGCAGAAAGGGACTCTCAACCCAGTTTTCCTTGGATGATTCTGCACAGTATAATTCTAAAACTGCTGAAGAAATGGAGTGGTGTGCCCATCAATACAAAGTTTTTTTTTTGTTGTTTGGTTTGGCTTTTTTGAAACAAGAGTTTCATGTAGTTCAGGCTGAACTCTAACTCATTATGTAATGGGGATGATGCTGAATTCCCAATTCTCTTGCCTCCACCTCTCAAGTATTAGGGGGGTGTGCCACCATGTCCACCTACTCACCTCAACATTCAAAGTGCTTTGGCTGGAGTTCTCTTTGGGTGAACTTCACTCCAGCTGAAGAACCATTCTACCAGTCTATATCTATCACTATTGCAGCTCTGCTTTCTGTTTTTGACAGTAGCACTGGGGGAAATGTGTCTACTCTTAATTCTTAAATCTCTACTCAACCATACTGAGGGTTAATTCATCATGCATGCAACACATACTCACTGATTACCTACTGTGCCAAATACCATAACCCATTGAATAAAACCTCCATTAACTGTCATTTTTGATTAGGGATAAAACTAATAGAAACAAAGGGATTATAGGAACTAACCAATTTCAGGTCAGGACAAAAACTAGCCTGTTGCCTGTTTCTACAAATAAAGATTTATTGAAACGCAGCTATGTTTCACTCATTCATGTATTATCTGTGGCTGTTTGGGGACTAGAGAGCAGAACTGAGGAATTGCAAGAGACTAACTATATGGCTCACAAAGCATACATTACTTCCACAGAAAACTTGCCTGGCCCTGACTTTTTGTTTGTTTGTAGATAAGGTTGGCCTGAACTCAGAGATTCATCTGCCTCTGCCTCCCCAGTGCTGGGATTAAAGGCATGCTCTACCACCACGCTATTTTAAGATAACAATATGCTATCTGATCCTCAAAACATTTTGGATTTGGTGTATTTTTTAATAGTAACATATACTAAACACATAATTTTATGCCAATCCTCAACTCAAGTTATGAGAGATGCTTTTATCTGTCAATCACTGGTATCATAGTCTCACAATCACTAAACCAGGAAACAGCATCAACATAACTAATAAAAACATGCTTCCCGGGTACAGAAACCTGGGGATCTTTAATCCCCGCTCCTCAAAAGAGTAATAGTTCAGGGGCTCAGGATCACCTCAGTGCTAAATGCCTGCCTATCATGTGTGAGGCTCCAGTTCAATCCCTACTACCCACCTCACCCCCACGAAAAAAGGAGAAAGATACAGATCGAGTGCTGTCAGTCTTTCTGGACTTCACTATGAGCCAGGCCCATGTAGATTAAAGGCTGCTTATTCACAAGTGTCATGGCCAGTTATATCCCTCAATAAGTCACATCCCAAAGCCCAATAAGGACTTGGATTTTCTTCATCTTTCCCTGTTAGGTTGTTCGTTGTTTTGTTTTTTAGGAGTTGTTCTGTTTGTTTAGGGTTTGGGGGGGCTGTTTATGTTTATGAGTGTTTAGTGCACGTGTGTGTGCCCCACTGGTGTGCCTGGTGAGGAGCCAGAGAGGGCATCAGAAGCCCTGGACCTGGAATTAAACATGGTTATGAGCCACCATGTGGCCCTGGGCCCTCTGTGAGAGCAAGTGCTCTTAGCTGCTCGCTCTTAGCTGCTCGGCCACCTCTCCAGCCCCTTGCTCTAGGTTTGCTTTGTGATTCTGGTTTGTTGTTGTTGTCTTACTATGTAACTGGGAATGGCTTTGCATTCACTCCTGACTGAATCTCCAAATACTGGGACAAAAGGTACACATCACCAAATCACCCAGCTTCTTTTTAAACACAGATCTCCCTATACAGCGCCTTTAGTCATTAAGACCATATTTTTCCTTTAAATAATTACTGGTATTTTGAATCAAAAATAACCATTGAGTAGTAAGAGTTTTTATGTATGGCACTGTTGTCCTTGAAGGGACTTCAATCCAGTTAGAAAGCTAAAGCAGTGCCACACCACACAGAACCATTTAACTGTATCTAAATCACACCTCATCTATAAATGGGTGCTATCATCTTCCCTCCAGAGTGGGCGACAGAACTGTAGATGAGATGTGCATGAAAATGTTTCTGAAACAGCTCAGTGGTTAAGAGTGCATACTGCTCTTGCTGAGGACCTGAATTCGAAACACAGCATCCACATCAGGGAGCCTACAACTGCCTGTAATCCCAGCTCCAGGGGAATCTGATACCTCTGAATGCATGTATATATAACCCCCTCCCACACACACACACAAAGCAAAGAAAATACTTTTGGTAATCCCTTACCTATAGATCTGACTCCTTTATCCTACTGCAGGAAAGGTGAAGCTCAGGGTTACACTGTAGTGTGTGGCTATGTATATAGTGTCACTATGCAAGGGAATCAGGCAAAGGCCTATATCAGCCCTCTTACTGGGCTATTTCTGAAACACAAAGCCTTGTTAACAGGCTCAGATTTCTTTTTTCTTTGAATATAGACTCCAAAACAGCCCCCTCACTCATGAGTGACACATTAGAGCCTAGCATCTACCTCCCAGGCCTGACAGCCTCAAACTCATAACAAAGACACCTGGACACCTGCTGTGTGTTTCCTTCCTCCACCTCCACAAACTAAATGCAGCTTTAATACCTGATAATTATGTGGCTCTAAGAACTCTTTAGAGAATTTTGTAAAAAGTAACTGTATTTTTGCATAACGTGTCTAAAAATCAATGATCAGCTTTTCCCAAAGCTTTCTGAAAAGGACTCAGGGAAACCCTAAGAGTACTGAAAGAAAAAACATGACATTTCAGGCTTATATAACCTGACACCAGATGGAGCTTTCTGAACTATTAAGTTCATAAGAAAGAAAACTTAGCCTAGGTAGAGTGTGGGGCCTCCAAGTACACCAAGTCTTATAGACTAACTCTGTCAGAAGGATCTAGAAAACACCAGACAGGAACAAGACTGCTCTTTTTCATTGGTGAGATTGGGAAGAAAAGAAATCTAACAGAGTAACCAAAACAGAATCCACTTCAAGGTGGCCACACAGTCTTAAGTCCCCTGTAGCAGTTAGTAATCTGTCTACATCAGCAATTAAAGACATTGTCTAGAACTGCTTTGGGTTTGTTGCTTTGGGACCCTCCTTTATCTCTGCCCTATCGATATTTCTTATGTAGGCCGTAACCCTTTCCTGTTTTTAACTGGGCACACTGCAGTAGGAGCAGCAGGCACTACAGCAACTCTAAGTCACTTGTTACAGTCGTCTCCAGATTGGAATGTTTTGTCATTCAGTCAAGCCATCGAATAGATCTGCTGCCTGGTTTCCCACAGCGCCTCATTTGACCCTCCCACAATTCCAGGAGCCAGGCACAGTTATTACCACAGCTCTCATTTGAAAGATGAAGGAAGCCAGGTTTACAGACACCTACCGGCTTACTTAAGATCATACGGTTTGTATGTGACAAGGGCTTTTATTCAATCTAAGCTATCTGCACGTGGTGCCTTCCATCACTCGAAAAGCAAGGTAAGTGTACAAAGCCGATTTTTCCAACTAGCTGGACCACAGCTTTATACAACACAAAGACATATGCATATAATGACAGGTCATAGAAAATGAGTCATTTCTTCCTACCTACCCATTCACAGTCAACTGTAAAGCCTCTCAGGTAGCAATTCCTAGGCACACATAACAAAAACTCTTCAGGCACAGCTTCCCGGGCTTTTGGCTAAAATGCAAGGGTCTTGAGACATCCACATCTAAGTTTTAAAATATAATTGTAATCTTATTATACACTCCAATATCTTGCATGGAAAAATAAATTAATAAAAAATAAAAACGAGAAATTTCTCCCGGAGCTGGGAAAACTTGCAAAACTGTGAGGCTGGGATTGTCTTGCTGTCCTTCCGTCCTTTATCCCCACTTTCCAACCAGTAGAGATTAAAAAAAAAAAAAAAAAAAAACATAAGCGAACGGGGAGAAACATGCCTCCCTTATTCTCTAGCCATTCGGCTGAAGGAAATAATTGAGAACGCTGTTCTACTGCCCTTTACAAATTTCAGAGTTATTAGGTGACAGCTAAAAAGGCAACTGCAACCCGAGTGCACAGTTGATTCAAATAACACTCATCACGACCCAGTCTCTGGCTCCTGTCAACTACACAAAAGAGTCGGCTATTAAATATTAACGGCATGCATTTGCGCTGGAGCCCTCCTGCTAACCAATCTCTGTTATGAAAGGAAAAACTGTCCCCGTTTGTCTAGGTAGACCCTCAGACCACTAGGATTCCCCTAGGGTGTTCTGTTCATCCTGTCTCTCCCAGGGGGAGATGACAGGGTCGCCCCACATCCCAGGGAGGAGAAAGGACGGGAGGGTCCAAGCCGGGAGAACCGGGGTCCCCTCGTCCCCCAGCTGTCAGCCGCAGGTCGGGAGGCGGGTCGCGGCCGGGCCCGCTGTCCGCACAAAGGGAGTGGGCGAGCGGATGGATGGGTGAGCGTCGCGACATCCCCGGCCCCGGCCGAGCCCACTTACCCAGCAGCAGCACGTTCTTCCCGGTCGGGAGCTTGGAGCGCGAGCGCGTGGAGACCTCGCTGAGGATGCAGGACCTAACGGGGAGCAAGGCGCAGGCTGAGGCCGGGCCGGGCCGGGCCGAGGGCGGGCACCGCCGGCCCCAGCTCCCGGGAGGCCCCGCCCGGCTCCCGGCGCCCGGCGCCCGGCTCCCGCGGGGCTCTGGGATCCCCGAGGCGTCCGCCCCGAGCCAGCCGATAACCCGCGGGGGACCAGAGAGGGGTGCGGTCGTTACCAGAGGTTCTGCCCGTCCTCGTCGTCGCCCGGCGCGGGGCCGCCGCTGCCCGACGCCAGCTCGTGGGCCAGGGGCCCGCCGGCGTAAGCGGAGGCTAGCCCGGGTGGAGAAGAACCGAACGAGCCGACTCGCCCCACGGCCGCCATCTTGGTCGGGAATCACACCACTCCTGACAGGGCAGCGGGAGCGAGGCCGAGGCGGCGGCGGCGGCGGCGGCGGCGGCGGGAACCCGGATATGGGCGTTCGGGGCTCAGGCGCTGACCGCGCCTGCGGGGGCGGGGACCAAACCTGAGGGCGGGGCCTGGGGCGGGGCTGCCGGAGGAGCGGGAGGCCGCTGCGCGTGCGCGGGAGCCCCGCGCCGGCCCCCTCCCCGCGGGACTGCGCGTGCGCGGCCTGGCTTAGTCCTAGGCTTGGTGGCCACCCTGCCTTTCACCGGGTCGCCAAGTAGAAGCGCTGCCCTGCGCGCGTCACTGTCACTCCGGGCTTGCAGCGCGGTAGGGCGGGCAGGATGTGTCAGGTGAGCGGCACAGCCGCCCGCCCTTCGATGCGGCGGTAACCTGGGACCTTAACCGCGCCCAGGTACAAACCGGCTGTCCCTGTCTCCGCCGCCGCCGCCGGGCTGGACTAGCCCTGACGTCCTGGATTTCCTCTCTGCATTCTCAAGGCTCGATGAGTACCTCAAGCTGGACCCACATCTGCAGCCGGCTCTTCCAGTTTCCCTGAAGATGCATGACCGATAAATGTTGGCAGCACTTCTAAAATTAATGGCCTTGATGGATTCGTGTCTTGTTTTTATCTTTTGTTTCTTTGTTTGTTTTCAGGTGAGGATCTCGTGTCACCCAGGCTGGACCCTAACTGATCTTCCTGCCTGCTTGTCCCAAGTGCTGAGATTACACATCACCATGCACACTCTGATCTCGATGTCTGAAGTGTCCCCTGTGAGATTTGGAAAGACCCCTCCCTCCGGGAACCCTCCCTTCTCGCCCCAACAAGAGTCTTCTTTCCATCACCATAGTTCATACAGCAAGCACGGAGAACCTAAGCTAGCACCCAGATAATTCTTTGTTAGAACTTTTTAAATTTTTTTTTTATTTTTATTTCATGTGCATTGGTGTTTTGCCTGCATGCATGTCTGTGTGAGGGTGTCAAATCCTGGAGTTACAGACTGTTGTGAGCTGCCATGTGGGTGCTGGGAATTGATTCAGGATCCTCTCGAAATTGGTGCTCTTAACGGCAGAGCCATCTGTCCAGTCCTCGTTTGTGTGTGTGTGTGTGTCTGTCTGTCTGTCTGTCTGTCCAGTCCTCTGTGTGTGTCTTCACTCAGGTCCTCAAGCTCTATGCACTTTCACCCACAGAGCCCTCTTCCCCCCTCTCCCCATTTTCCTGATGTGTGAGACCAAGACCAAGAGCCACTGATCTTCCTGCCTCCAACCTCTCAAGTGCTGGGATTATAGGAGAAAACCACCTCACCTAGTTAATCATTATTAATAATCGGCTTAACCTTTCAAACCATAGCTTGCCAATGCCTGGTAAAAGTGGCCCTGATGAATTCCTGGAGCTAAAATGCATGTCTTTTTGATCAGAGAAGGAGGCAAAGCCCTCCGTGCATCCTAGGTTGCCCAGGCATCCTTGGGCCTCCCTAATGACAGCTGCAGTGGAAAGCTCTGTAGAGCAGCGGCCCCTCCGAGAAGGAGAGATGGTTCGCTTTCTGCTCTACTTTGTTGCTTCAGTCGGCTTTGCTCACAGCATTTTCTCCACTGTGTTTATACAGAGTGGTGGTTTCCGTACCAAACTTGCTTAGTCTGAGAAGTATTTACTTTCATAACAATGGCAAACCTTCAGATGGCTAATTAAAGACTTAAACTGAGGTCAAAGTTGTATCCTTATGGGGCTGGGCATGTAGCTCACTTAGTAGAGTATCAGTCTTCCATGCATGAAGCCCTGAGTTCAGTCCCCGGCACCAAATACACCAGGTGTGGTGGTATAGGGCTATAATCCCAGCATTTAGGAAGAAGGTGGGGGCAGGAGAATGGGAAGTTCAAGGTCATCCTCAGCCTATAGCATCAACTCAAGGACAGCCTGGGATACATGTAACCTCACTTCCAAAAAAAGGAAAAAGAAAAAGAAAAAAAAAAAGGGAAGTTGTATTCCGTGACTTTGTACCATTCTTCTATTAAGACGCCTGATTAAAATGATTACTTATAAATGCCTAGCATGTACCAGGCTTCACGCTCTGTAGTGTGACATTCCGTCTTCATCTTTAAGATTTTATTTTTTTTAATTTTATGTGTATGAATGTCTGCTACATGTTTGCATCTATGCCACATGAGTACCTGGTGCCTCTGAAGCCAGAAGGTGTTGGGTCACCTGGGACTGGAGTTACATGGTTGTGAGCCACCATGTGGATGCTGGAAATTAAACACGGGTTCCCAGGAAGAGCAGCCAGTGCTCTTAACAGATGAGTTACCTCTCCAACCCCTCATTTAATGATTTTTTAAAAAGATTGTGTGTGTACCAGGCCTTGGTGGCGCATATCTTTAACCCCAGCACTGGCGAGGCAGGGCAGGTGAATTGCTGTGAGTTCGAGGCCAGCCTGGTCTATAGAGCAAGTTGCGGGACAGGCTCCAAAGTAATACAGAGAAACCCTGTCTCTAAAAACCAAAATAAACAAAAGATTGTGTGTGTGTGCGTGCGTGCGTGTGTGCGTGTGTGTGTGTGTGTGTGTGTGTGTGTGTGTGTTTCAGGCAGCTCCCGTTAGCTTTACCATGGCTGTGGTGAAAGCTCTTTGGTGCCACACAAGTGAGTGGGGCTAAAAAAACACCTTGAATTCATTATGCATTTGATTCTCTTATTAATTTGGAGTTGTCTGTTCAGAATCGCTTTACTGTTGCCAAATTTTTCATAACCCCAGTTCAGTTATGAGATCCTATGTAGAGTCAGTCCACAACTGAAGGAGCTGAGATTTAAAGAACACGGGCTGGATATAGTGGCACATGCCTGTAATCCCAGCCCTAGAAAGGCTGAGACAGGCAAATTCAAAGTCCAAGACCAGCATAAGCAAGTCTCTGTCTAAAAGCAAAAAAAATGTATGTGAGAGCATATGCAGAGATTAAATGCAAAGAATATGGCAGTATTTATATCGGGGACTTCGGCATCATCAGATGGTGGTATTCACAGGGGGGCCTGGAACCAACCCACACCCACACCACATAGGTACCATGGATGTCTGCATTTGATATGGGCTTCTACATTTATCTCTCCAGCCCAGAGCTTCTTCTGGAATTCAGACTAGCCTTCTCCCATAAAGGCTTCATTACCCACTTCTGCATTACAGAGAAAACCCTTTGTGGCCCAGGCCCAAAACCTGAGTCATTTTTAACTTCTCTATTTCTCTCAAACCTCAAACTGAAAGTTGAAACTGTGAGGAATCCTGTTGTGCCTACCTACCTTTAACAAATACCCGCAATATAGCTTCTTGTGTGTGTGTGTGTATCAGTGTGTGTGTGTGTGTGTGTCAGTGTGTGTCTGTGTGTATATATCAGTGTGTGTTAGTGTGTGTATGTGTCAGTGTGTGTGTATGTGTCTGTGTGTTAGTGTGTGTATCAGTGTATGTGTGTGTGTTTCAGTGTGTGTGTATCAGTGTGTGTGTGTGTCAGTGTGTGTCTGTGTGTATATATCAGTGTGTGTTAGTGTGTGTATGTGTCAGTGTGTGTGTATGTGTCTGTGTGTGTTAGTGTGTGTATCAGTGTATGTGTGTGTGTTTCAGTGTGTATCAGTGTGTGTGTATCAGTGTGTGTCAGTGTGTGTGTCTGTCAGTGTGTCAGTGTGTGTGTATCAGTGTGTGTGTTAGTATGTGTGTATCAGTGTGTGTGTATGTGTGTGTGTCTGTGTATCAGTGTGTGTTAGTGTGTGTATCAGTGTGTGTGTATGTTAGTGTGTGTGTCTGTGTGAGTGTGTGTGTGTTAGTGTGTGTATGTATACACTTGTGTGTGGACATACTACAGCACCTCTATGGAGATCTATGTGGATGGTTTTGGTTCTCCTACTTTTACGTGGTTACATGGGCTGGCAAGCATTTTTACTCCCCATCCCCACCCCGAGCCATTTGACAACCCCACAATGCAACTTTTTTGGTTGGTTGGTTTTGTTTCGTTGTTTTTTAAAGACAGGGTTTCTCTGTGTAGCCCTGGATATCCTGGAACTTACTCTGTAGACCAGGCTGGCCTTGAACTCACAGAGATCCGCCTGCCCCTGCGTCCCCAGTGGTGGGATTAAAGTGGTGTATCACCACACTGGGCTCACCATACCACTTCTCATCGCTCATCTGCTGTAGCCCCTTGGTCTGAGCCATAGTCCCTTTTTTGGTTCTTTGATCTCATACACGTATAGAATGGGATTTAGCCATTTCACCTCTCCCCCTTTATCCTCTCCCTCTCCCGCTGAAATGCTGTCCCCATCAAGGTCCTCCCCTACTTTCCCGTCTTGTTGTTGTTTTTGTTACCCACTGAGTTTAGTTATAGTTGCTTGATTGAGCATGGATGAAGGGGTGTTTTATTGGCAATGGTTTTTGAGACAGGGTCTTGTGTAGCACAGGTTAGCTTTACACTTAACTATGTAGCTACATGGCCAGGGCTCCCCTTTGACCTGCTGTGATCTGCCTCTATATCAGGTATTTGTATGACGAATGTGGACCACTTAACCTCTTGTCTCAGTTACTATAAAAAGCCTTCAATATGGCATCTAAAATGGTCTTTGGATGGGGATGTAGCTTAGTATGCAGGAGGCCCTAGGTTTGACCCCCAGCATTGCATTAGCCAGTCATGTTCACCTGTAATTCCAGCACTCTATAGGTGAATACAGGATGATTAGAAGTTCAGGATCATCAGCCAGCATTGGTGGCGCACGCCTTTAATCCCAGCACTTGGGAGGCAGAGGCAGGTGGATCTCTGTGAGTTCCAGGCCAGCTTGGTCTACGGAGCCAGTTCCAGGACAGGCTCCAAAGCAAAGTTCAAGATCAGCCTCAGTTACATGGGGAGTTCAAGGACAGCCTGGGCCAGAGACCTTGCTGAAGAACAGCACAATAAAGTGATCTTTTGACATTACACAGACAGTACCACTTTTTTGCCCTCCACATTTTTATTTATTTTGTGTGCATGTTTGCAGACATGTTCACACATATATTCATGTGTGGTGCACATTTGTGCACCTATGTATAGAGACCGAAAGCCAGTGTCTTTTGTTTGG